GGTGATAGGAAGAACTACGCCTCCGCCACACTCTCTGAGTTGTTGCCAGAGGAAGTTGAAGCCGAAGTAAAAGCAGCTGCAGAGATATCTATGGGAACAGAGGTTTCTGAGGAAGATATTTGCAATATTCTGCATCTGTGCACCCAAGTAGGTTACATCTACATAGAATACTATTGAGGCTTATAATGCTAAGAACTACCTGATGGCAGTGATGATTTCTACATTTGTTCACCTGATAACACTGTGAAGGTGTCCAGTCACTACCTCATCTGATGCCATCTTGGTTTGTCTACTGGGGGAGAAGATAACACTAAAATGAAGTAATTTTGTACTAGTATTGTATAAATGATAAAGTACATGAAACCCATTAAGAAAGTAATATTAGGAGTAAATTTACCTAAGATCAATCACATACTCTGATAATTTAGGGCTCCAATGGAGAATGTGTTTGCTTCGTTTGCAATAGGGTGTTGTGTGAGACATGATGGTACACACCTGTGATCCTATTATTCAGGAGGGGAGGCAGTGGGAGATGACATTGGAAGTCCCTGTGTCAGAAAAGGAAAGAGTCCTGCACTGTTACCCAGGCTGACCTCACCACTCTTAGGCCAATCCTTCCTGAGTAGCAGGGACAACAAGTGTCTTTCATTGTGACCAGCAAGGAATCCAGTGAATTACTTATGAATTTTGCACTATTTTTATACATAGTTATTACTAATTTACTACTCATGATATTTCTTGTTAGGTGATTGAAATCTCCGAATATAGAACCCAGCTATATGAGTATCTTCAAAACCGAATGATGGCCATCGCACCCAATGTGACAGTTATGGTTGGCGAGTTAGTGGGAGCACGGCTAATTGCTCATGCAGGTGACAGTTTTGATGTAATTTGTAAACATGAGTATTTGCAGTTGAGCTTTGTGGGGTTTTTTAATCTTCAAACTTTTTAGACACTAAAAAGGCCAAGTGTTCGATGATGATTTTTTACTTGTATGCCTGATCCTTTTGACAGTGAAGGCATCTTCAGTCACTACCTCTTCTGAGACACTTGTGGTCTATTGTCAACAGATTGTCATGGTCAATTAGAATAGTCAGATGAAAATAAAAATTAGCATTTTCCTAAGAGCTTATTATGGGCCTGAACCTGAACATGCCTCAAAACTAACATTTGAATATAGGGGTGGGGTTTTTTTTTGTTTTTTGGCGGAACTGGGGATTGAACTCAGGCCCTTGCATTTGCCAGGCAAGTGCTTATTCTACTGAGCCATTTCACAGGCCCCTTGAATGTAGTTTTTAAAAAAATGACAGCATGACATATCTTTGATTATCTCAGTTTCATTGCATATGCTGTTTTATTTTTTTTTCAAAGGTCTAGCATTCTTTTTTTTTTAATTTT